GCAACCTCCAATTCCAGCAACCAACTGAGATGCTGAGATGGGTGGATGCAGATTCATTATTATAATGATTTGTGTCATTCATGAGAAACAAATCGTGTGAAATCAAAATAGCCTTATTTTGTTATTTCTAAACAATCGAGGTATGATATATGTTATCATTTGTTCTGTTACCGGTCGAGATAGCAAAATAAGATTATTCATATTTCACACAAAATAATTAGAATGTGAATCGTAACATATATATTATTGGCCATGTGATCATTAAATTGTTTCACCAAAGCGTTTCCCAGGAGCACTAAATGGAGAGTTCAATTTGAGTGAATGAACCGAAAGAGATGTTTGACCAAAAACAAACCAAAAAAACCCCGAAAGAGATGATGATGGATTTTTATTACCTTTTCGGCAGAGTGGTCAGTCAGACTGTGGCACATAAAGAAGGAGAGCAGCAGCTTTATAGTCATTGTAAAGAAAAGCCCTAATGACCAAAATACCCAGATTTTTGTTTCTCCCAATGGAGAAATTTCAGGTTTATAATTGATTGCAGCTCTCAGACTGCACTAGGGCATTCGTGTCGTTTTGGGCAGCAGAGTCCAGAAAGTTGAAAAGTAAAAAATAAATAGAAACTATTGAGGAAACAAAAAAGTAAATTTTTAGAAGAAAAAAGAAAAAGGCATGGGTTTGTGAGCCAGAGGGCATTTAGAAAGCATGTGGAGCTGCTACATGTACCCTAGAGAGAAGAAAAAACAGAGCGGGTGGGTGGGTCTACTTAGCAAGTACTGTCTACTATTCTACCTAAATCAAACCAAACCAAACCAAACTAAACCCAGTGGGGGTGTTTTATGTAGTCTGGTGGGTGTGGGTGTGGGTGTGGGTGTGGACAATAGTGGGAGAGAAACTCGTGTAACAACGAGATATTACTTTTTGCTATTTTCAGTTAATAATCTAATGACATATAAAATAATTTTTTTTACATATCATTGTGTTATTAGTTAAGAATAATAAAATAGTGCTATTTCCGTTACAAGTAAGTTTTTTGCAAACTTCAAATTAGGAGGGCAATCCTCCTGGTGTATTGACCGTACCCCAAATCGACACAAGTGAACAAGTAGAGTATATTAGGGCGCTTAAGAAACTCTCATGTAACGGAAATAACATTTTTTGCTATTCCCGATTAATAATGTAAAGACTCTTATGAATAATTTTTCCACATATCATTACGTTATTAATCGAGAATAATACAGTGTTATCCCTGTTACATATAAGGTTATAAGGTTTTTTTGGTAGTGGTGGCCTGGTGGGTGCAAGTAACGAGACGTCCCAGAGAGCCAGAGAGAACAGAGTTGCATAGAGGGCATAGAATAAACTGGCCCCACTTGTAGTAAAACCAATTTTTAGTACATGTCTTGAAAATAGTGCAATTTTAATTTACCCCAACCAAGACTTTTCAAATGGACGTCCATATATCTAAAGATTTGTTTCCCTTTTCTTTTCTCTGGGGTGACTTGGATGGGAGGAACAAGTTGTGAAAAGTAAGCAACTTTTGCTTTGCCCTGTTTTTTTTCTTTCTCAAAGTTAGGTAGGGGGAGAGTTTTCTAAAACATGTGTCATATGGCTTCGAATCTGAAACTATTAGTTTATAAGGAAAAGTTATTGTTCAATAAGTTAGACTTCGTTGGTAATTAACTTAATTTATTTGTGTTATTTTATCGAGCGAAGAAAAATATGCAAGTAACACTGACTTGCTGAGAAAATTTAATTCGTACAAAATAATCACTTCATGCTAACTATATCAGAATATAGAGCATGAATTATGTACAAACTATCCATAAATTAATAAGTTCGAAAATTTAAATTTAGGATGTCTAAATTCATTCCACACTTCATCCTAACTATGTAAAATGAGTTAATCTTGGTCATTACATATTTAAGACTAATTGTGTATTTAAGAGATAAACACATATAGTGAAATGTCAATACAAATTTTAGAGAATTACGGGACGAGGAGTAGACACATATTTAAGAGATGTACACATAATTATATAAAACCCAAACATAAATACTCTATGTATCAAATCTTTATTAGTAAAGATTCTTATCCATAGTACCTAATTTTTCTTAAAATCAATTAAACTTACTTCTTTTTTTTTACTCAAATTTGTATTGGGATATATATTGTTTTTTTTATACAAATTTGTCCACATAGAAGTGTTATCACGCATGTTATAATGTTATTGGTTGGAGATAGCAAAATAGTGTTATCCCTGTTTCATAAAAGTTTTTTTCCCCGCAAAAGACTCTTCTCAGCTCCCCCTCCAATCCTCCATATAGGCTTTTCAAGGGAACAAACTCTACCAAATGAAGTTAAAAGCCTTTTTGTTATGTTGTAAATGGACTTTGGGTGTGTTTCTAAAGTCCATTTCATATAGGGTTTTTTTAATATATAATTTTTTTTTTCAAATTTTTTAATATATAATTTAGGCTCCTATATTGGCTATAATAGTGAATATCCTTTCTTTTTTTCATCTAGTAGCAATAAAGTTTAGGTTGTAATATTACCACTATTGAAAGGAAAAAAAAAGGGTAAAAAAAGAGAAAAACAGAATCTAAGTATTGAAAAAAGTCTCCTCATAATCATAGCGGTGGATCAGAATTTAGAAAACAGAAGAAGAAAAAAATGTCAATAAAATAAAGTGTTGAAAGCACTTAAACTTGAGGTAATTGCTCGATATGGAAAAACGAGTCGTTTAGTCATTCATTTTGGTAGTTCTGAGTGCGATACTGCAATGCAAAGGAGAATGGAAAAGTCATTATTTATGTGGCCGACTTAATTAGACTCTAATTGGGATTATTAACTCATGATGATTACTTTTGACGATTAAATAATCGGGGGTTCCCAAAAGTATAAATTTTCTCACAAGTTGTCTGACCAATTGATACAATGGTTGACCCACTCACAAGTTGAGGGGTAATTAAGACTTAACTGACCACATTAATTGACCACATTATGTGGCAGCTTATTTGGAAAAGACATGTCGGATAAGATTATTAAATGTTTTTATTAATTAATTTATAAAAAAAAAAGAGTTTTGCCTTTTTCTTTTTAGGAAAATAATAAGTTTACTCAATTCGCATATCCTTCCTCCTCCTCCTCTCCCAACTCCATCACTACAGAATCAGCAACACCGGCGGCGCACCGGCTGCCACGTCTCCAACCATCACCAATTCAAAGAAATACTTTTTAATTCTTATTTCCCTTTTCGGTTCATAATCAAAACCTTCTCTTGCCAATTCCAAGCCTCATCAAGAATATGATATCTGAAGGATCAATTTGGATTTTCTAGATAGCTAGTAAAATAGCCGTTTGGGATTTCTTGATTAGTTGATTTGCAGAGTTGGGTTTGTTGAATCAAAGGCGTGGTTTCTTTCGGGAGGCAGAGGTGTTAGAAATATTAGGGCAGCCAAATGGGTACAATGAATAAGATGAAAAGTTCAAATAAATAAATTACTTGATTTGAAAAAAGAAAGAAAAAAGAAAAATACAGTTGGCAACATTTAGTTGATGTCGAAGTGATTTTTCTAAGAAAACTCTAAGAAACCCTAGTCACCGCCCCCAAAGGGGACGACAACCTTCCTCCCTCCCCTCTCCTATGTTCTTTTTCCCTCCAATTTTCCCTTTTTTTGGCTTTGTTATTTTGTTTTGTGATGTGAAAGCAGCCGTCGTGAAAACAATGTCGTTGCCATGATAGTAGTCGTCTTTTGTTCACGTACCTGCGAATTTAGCTCCAACTGTCACCCTTCAACATGGGTTTGGAGCTGCAATGATGAGAAGATATCAGGTTACATTGGGTTCCGATTTAGTCGGTATGGCACTATGACTCTCCCTGGGCGGCCCGAGAGGATGTGGAGTGGTGATCATGCTTCTTAATTTGTTTGTCTAATAATTTTCACATGTTGTCTTTTGTTAGTTTTATTTATGTTTTGGGTTTTTGCTTTCGATATGAATTTGTCGTTTTTGCCATTGGACAACTAATTTGTATTGTAGGTTTGAGTAGACGTGCTTTTGGTTGTTGAATGCGAGATTTTTAATTTGTTTGTGTGTTGTGCATAATTTGCTCCATATTAATTCAACTTGTTGTTGCATTTGGTCACTAGAAAAGTTTTATCTATGTTTGACAACAAAGTGGCTTTGTACTTGTTTATGTTCCTCTTATCAATAAAATAATATCGCTCTTTATAAAAAGAAAATATTGTGTTAATATTCTTTTAACAAATGGATTTATTATTAGTAGGTCAAAAAAGTCATCATATACTCCTTAAAAGTGCAAATTTTATTTTGTTTTTCCTATAAGGGGGAATATGTGATGACTTTTCTGAAATCAACTAAAATTACATGATGGGGTTCTCAAATTCTTTTCCTTCCTTGTTACAATGTAAGCATTTATGGGCCGGCTGATTTTGTAAAAAATAAAACTATTTGTATTATCTTAATTGATGATATAATATGTCATTTTTTTAATAGAGGTGAGACCTGAGACCTTTCCTTGTGAGTCGAATACTCTTGTCGAACACTAGCTAGGTTTCGCCGAGAAAATTGAAGTTTAGGTTGGGGAAAGTTTGCAATAGTGGAGAAAACAAAGGTTAATTCGTATGTACGTACATTGTACGAGAACCTCAGTCCATCTCACTTCCGTCGATTGAGGATGAGTATCGTAGTCGGCAGCGTATAAAGAAACAATAAACAATTAAGCAGTGTCATGTTCAAAGTTTCAAACCCAAAAAGAAAGAAAGAAATAAAATAATTAGTAATAATCGTAGTTACAAGGCAAAAATAAACCGTCCCTCCACACAACAAACTCAATGGTTTTACTTAGTCTAAGCTCTTTCATGTTCCAATAGAAAGCAAACCCTCTGAGTCTCTGTGCCCCACCGGCCCCCTCCCTCTTATAAATACACCCCCTTTGCTCACTTTTCTAACCACACCCACCAAGCGGTGAGCTCTCTCCCTCTCTCTTCCCTCTCTCTATTCACTATACAGCCTCTGCGGCCTTGCTTAGGTTTTCTTGTTGGATATGGGAGGCTTTGAGATTTGAACATTGAGTAATGGAGAATCTGTAAAGCTCAGGAGGGATAGCGCCATATGAACAAAATGGTTTAATTTATATTAGGCATTTGTTTTGGCGCTATCCATCCTGAGTTTCATGGCTTCTTCTTACTATACATCTCTCTCTATCTCTGCTGCAAATCTCAGCAAAATCCTGCTAGGATCATTAAGGGTATGAAACTATTTGTTTTGTTTGTTTGATTTCATTTCATTAATCAGGGGATCGTTGCAAGGTCAATGCTGAGTTCTTAACTTTTCTACTCATCTGTAATCACTCAAAGATAACTTCCTAGCTACTTGTTGTCATTTCTCTCTACCATGGAAGGTTAAACTAGCTAGCTAGCTAGCTAGCTCTCATCCCGGGATTTTGGACATTTTTCCAAGAATAAATGATTTCGAGGATTTTGGGATTTTGGGGTTTTAGCTCTCATAAGCAACAACTATAAATAATTACATATATATATATATATATATATATATATATATATATACACACACATATATAACTATTTCTTTCTGAAGGGTATGAAACCAGATTTGTTCACAAGATTTTGTGGTTCTTTATCTCCATCTTCCCCTTTTTACTTTCTTCTTTTCTTGGTATGGATTCCATATAATTATTAATCTCTCTAATTCTTGTTTATTTTGGGTTTTCTTGATTTCTGACGAATACTTGTCTCATGATCTTATCAGATCATGTATGTTTTGCGAGCAGATTCGATCGAAACCCTAGTCATCATCTCTAGAGTAAGCTAGCCTTTTGGAGATATGTACCAAAATTTTAATGTTGCTTAAATTTATAATCATTGCATATCTTTCTTTTTTTTAAGTGCTACTTTTTCCAGATTTCCACGATTCCACTTTTGGGGTATGAGTCTGACAGCTTTTTAATGGTGTGACTCTGAAACCCTAGTCTTCTCCAGAAGCAGCCTTGACGCCTTGTGCGTTGTGATGACTGATGAGAGATGTAGCTAGGGTTTCATGGTTTGAACGGAAACGTTTTGCAGAGCAGCTTTTTCAATAATGGAGGAGAGGCTAGCACCTACGGATGTGGACCGCTCCACAACTTCCCTTCAGGTCACGGTCTCGTCGCTTTCTTTTCTATTCATGTCCTCATTATCTCCATCCTCACTATTCCTCCATTAAAAACAACAAAAATAAAATTAAAAGCTTTCCTTTCTTTTTCTTTCTTCTATTATTATTATTATTATATATAATTACAGAAAATAAAAGCATTAATAAAGGGGTAAATTAGCAATTCGTTGCTTTCATGTTGCTGTTGCTATTGCAGACGAGATGATGGTCTAGTTGACTTGTTTCATACGTGGTTTCAATTTTTTTATTTAAGTAAATGATCTATAGTATGCACTGTGAATCATCTGGTTGGCCATTACGTGCCACGTGTACGGCTGGGATGGATTGTTTCCGGAGTACTGAGAAGCTTGATCTAACTTTAGGGTACAAAGTGTGTCTGGTTATTAGGCGACAAAGGAACCAATTTACCTGCAATATTTTGATCTCCAACGGTGTTATTTGCTTAGGGTTCAGCAGTATTATATATATGAGATCTCTAATGATGATATAAGATCTTCATCTTCGGAGAAAGATCATACGAATGTAATGTGCTTCAACAGGAACCCCCACCACCAAGCTTTGTGCCACAGCCTGGCCTCTTCTCTTTGCCCCCTTTGTAAAATATGTTAAAGTACTCTAATTCAGTTGTTAATTATGATTATTCATGATGTACCCGTACAAGCAATAGTCTAAATTACAGGGAAAAGAAATTTCTCACATACACACAATTATGATGCCGGAAGAATTCAAGGATACTTTTCTGCTTGTCTTTGAATTCATATAAGAAAAAAACAGGAAAAAAGAAGAAAACAACTGGAGTGGTGGTCCAAATTCCAGTTTTGAATCTGTGAGAGCACATCATTGCTGGAGCATATATTACCTATATGGTACAAATGAATTTAATAGGATGGATGGTCTGAAAATGTCAGGTCTTGCTGGATTTTCTTGTATAAATTTGTACCCTGACAATTCTCACCAAAACACCTGCCAAGTATTTAATTCGTTTCCCTCCTCAATCTTCAGACTTCACATGCAGAAACATAAAAGATGAAGAACAGAGTCATCATAATAAATCAAACCCAGACAAAGTTATCGCAGGTTTTGTACATGGGCCATGGATCGCTACCAGCTAACTCTGACAAGGCTCTTCTTTGGATTGGGCCTTAATTTAAATGAATTTTCATATTAATCAATGGGCTTGAACGAGTGATTAACTTTGTATTAACTTACCAATTGCTTAACGTTCAAACATTCTGTTTGTATAAATATGATATTTTATATATATATTTTTTTTCTAAGTTGAGTGAGTGTAAGATGAACTCTATATTGAAAAGAAACACAGGAGTGTTTTGTTGTTGTTGATACAAACGATATTTTATTTTAATCTAATTTAAGGGGAGGGGAATTCGAACTCAGGTGCATAGCGAGGAGCATATCTGCTCCATCCAACTCGATTAAGCCCATGTAGTTGATATCATAATATTTTGTAAAAGAAAATTTGCAAGAAAATCATTTTAGACTTTTCTTTTTTCTGTACAGTATTTTTATATTAATTAGATAGTTAAAAAGAAAAAAGCTAGGGAAGTGAATTTGGGCGATCGAAGGGAATATCAGCAACCTCACAAAAAAGAAATTGTGATAAAAATGGTCAACCAAACAACAAAGTGAACTTCATGCCCCTTATTAACGCATGTCCACACCCCTTTTAGCCTTCTTCCTACTCTCTCTCTCTCTCTCTCTCTGCAACATTTGCATGGTTAGGGTTTTCAGCTACTCTTTTGCATGGTTAGGGAATTCCCAGTTTTCCATCCCCCGGCTGCCGGGACCCACGGTTGGGATGGTAGTTCCAACGGCTTTCATCCGGCAGCATCCGTGAAAGCTCAGGTTGACAACGTGTCCATAGATTTCAACTTCGTTTACCCGCCAGCTTTAATTTCCTGCGGAAATTATCGACCGATACCCACCTTAGGCTTCTTTTTTGGTGATAACCCTTTGAAAAATCCCTTCACACTTTTGTTGTTAGAGGTCTCATTCATCATCCTCACCACTCGTGTCCTCCGCTTCCTTCTCAAGCCTCTCAAACAACCCAGAATTGTCTCAGAAGTCATTGTAAGTTCCTCTTCTTCTCATAATATATGTCTCTCAACTAAACTTCATGCGAATATACACATAATATACATATACAAAAGTTCAATCCTAATTGGTTTGTGTGAATTATAGTTTTGATTATATATATAATTTTGACTTAATTAACTTTGTTAAATTAGGGTGGTATGTTCATTGGACCGTCGATTTTAGGTCGCAGCGAGAAATTTACCTCGATTATGTTCCCGGTAGATAACCAATTTCTAGTGAGAAATATTGGAGCAATGGGGTTCACCTATTATTTTTTTCTAGCCGGAGTGAAAATGGACCTTTCTCTAGTGAGAAAAACAAGCAAGAAACAATTGTACATAGCAATTGCTGGGGTGGCCCTCCCTTGCACATTCATATCCATTGTGGCATTCAGCTTGCGCAAGTCCATGGACAAAGAACTAGCAAGACTTTCTTCCATTGGATTCATATGCACTGGCTTGGCTCTACCATTGTTTCCTGTGCTTCACTCCATCCTAAAAGAGCTAAACCTTCTAAGCTCGGAGATCGGACGGCTGGGATTGTCCATAGCAGTGATCAGTGATGCCATGGGAGTTGGTGTGATGGTTATATTTGAGGCAGCTAAGCAAGGTGAGGGCAAAGCCTTGGCTGTGGTTTGGTACTTAATTTCTCTGGTTGGTTTTGTGGTCTTAACTGTGTTTGTGATCAGAAGAGCATTGTCTAGAGTAGTCGAGATAACCCCAGATGGGAAACCAGTGGACCAGGCCTATGTTGTGGCAATTTTGTTGGGGGTTTTGATCATGGGTTTTTTGGCTGACATGTTTGGGATTGCCATTGCAAACGGTGCGTTTTGGTTAGGGTTGGCAATCCCAGATGGGCCTCCACTTGGATCAACACTTGTGGAGAGGAGTGAGACTGTTATATTGGAAGTTTTGATGCCATTTTCATTTGCATTTGTTGGGCTTTATGTGGATGTGAATGCCATGAGCTCTGCTGGTTGGTCAGGCTTGGGTCCTTTGTTTGCCATCACTATGACAGGCTATGTGTCTAAATTTCTTGGAACCCTAATCACTTCTGCCTTCTTTGAGTTGCCAATCAGAGATGGTGTTGTGCTCAGCTTCATCATGATCCTAAGAGGGCAGGTGGAGATAGTGGTTTTCCTCCATTGGATGGACAAAAAGGTAACATCCTTAGCATATCATAAATGGTTGAAGAGCCACATGCCATCCATTTTTTATCTTATTTTCTCTGACAATCTAACCAAACAAATTATCTGATTTATATAAAACTGAATGGATAAATGTGATACATATAACATTAATTGGTGTGATACATGTAAATAAAAAGTTATTAGGAAGCATAAGAAAGAAAATAATAAAGGAATCACATTTTTTTACTTATATTAACTGATCACATGATGTGACAGTTGATGTGTACTTATTACGTCAATTATTATGATAAATTATTAATTCACACATCAAACGCTACAACTTTAAAAAAAAAAAAAAAAAAGAATTCTCTAGCTAGCATTACCTGCATAAAAAATGGATATGGATTCTCCACTAATTTAATCTTCTTTATGCTCAATATGATTTGTTTATGTTCATTCTGAACTCATTTTCAGCTGGTTGGTTGTTTTGTATGAACATACATACATACAGATAATAGAAGTTCCTGGTTTCACATTGATGGTGCTAGCAATCACTTCGTGGACTGCAATAGCCACACCCTTGATCAGCATCCTCTATGACCCAACAAGGCCATACCAGGTCCTCAAAAGAAGAACAATTCAGCACACACCTCCTGAAGACTCAGAACTTCGCATACTCCTCTGCATATATGATGAAGACAGCACAGCTGCCCTCATCAACCTTCTTGAAATCTCAAACCCTACTCTAAGCACCCCTTTCGTGATCTTCGCTCTCCGCCTCATCGACCTTGTTGGCCGTGCTTCTCCTGTTTTGATAGACCATGAAAAGCAAGAAGATCATGATTCAAAGTATGCAGTCAGCCACACAATCCACAATGCCTGGAAGAACTACCAAGAAAGCAAAGGTGAGTGTATTGAGATCCATCCCTTCACAGCTATAGTGCCAAACAGAACAATGTACCAGGACATTTGTGATCTGGCTCTTGTCAAGAAGGCTACACTTATTATATTGCCTTTTCACAAGGAGTGTTTGGACACTCTTGGAGGGAAATTGACAGAACTTGTGAGGCTTGGGGTTAGATCTGTCAATTCAAATGTGATAAACCATGCACCTTGCTCAGTCGGTGTTCTTGTTGACAAGGGTCATGTTAGGCATACCTACATGGCATTCAGGAACACTGTGCTACATTTTGCTGTGCTGTTTTTGGGAGGGGCAGATGCTAGAGAGGCATTGTGTTATGCGGACAGAATGGCTGGGAATTTAAATGTGTCTCTAACCGTGATTCGGTTCCTTTCGCATAATTCTGAAGGTGATGATGAGATGGAGAAGAAAATGGATGATGGGGTGGTGACATGGTTTTGGGTTAAGAATGAGAGGAATGAGAGGGTGAGTTATAGAGAGGTGGTGGTAAGGAATGGAGAAGAGACAATAGCAGCCATTCAAGCAGTGAGTGATGACAACAACAACTATGATGTTTGGATTGTTGGGAGGAAACAGGGGATCAATCCTGTTCTTCTAGAAGGACTATCAAATTGGAGTGAAAATGATGAATTGGGTATAATTGGGGACTTTGTTTCCTCTTATGATTTTGGTGGTACTGCTTCTGTGCTAGTGGTACAACAGCAAGTTTTGAGAGGGCAAGGGGCAGATAGTACAAGTGGGTCAAGTGGAGGGTTTCCATGTAACCCTATTCAGAAGGTGAAGGATGTGGTAAATCCATGGTGTAGGTTACTAGGGTTTGGTATCTCATAAACCAGAAGATGGTGTACATAGCTAGCTAGCTCAATCAAAGCTTTGAAAATGGCTTATGAAAAAAGAGAAATAGGGACATTCAAACCAGCTGATGTAGAATAGAACTTAGGGGAGTCCATAAGTAGACTTCACATGTAATTACATGTATACTTCCATGTGTACTGTAACAAATATTGTACTCAATTTGTGTACATACATGCATAGTGATTCTACTTCAACTCAAAACATAGCTCTTACTCTATTTTTATTTTTATTTTTATTATTTTTATAAAGAGAGATTGGAGAGATCCAAATGACATATTTATACATAGCATAGTTTTTTTTATAAGGCCTTGGCAATAATATACTAAACTCACACACACTACACGGATGCTAGGACTCGAACTCAGGACCTTTTCTGGGAGAGCAATTACTCCAAACTACTACACTAGTGGGTCATACATAGCATTAGTTGAATTTTTTATGATGTTTCAAGTACATAAAATGACATTGTGGACAACTTGAGTATGTTTCTATGAAAAAACAAAGATTCAAAAATTGGAAAAACCATCCCCAAACGATGATGGGTGCGCTGATCAAATTTGAGTGAGTTTTCTTTTGTATTTGGTACAAGTGTTTGGGTGGATTTTGAAGCCCAACTATAAAATTGTTTGGAGCTCCAATCGTAAGTGAAGTCCAAGCCCAAATCTCACTTCCTTCCCACGGTTCCCCTTCTTCACTCTCTGCAAGGTCCTCCATTGTTGTGCAGTAAAACCCACCTCCCTTCTCTCGCCGATAGTCTTGCTGATACCGTTCCTTTTTCTGTTCTGTTTGAAACGTTTCGAGAATCGAGCGAGTACCCAAATCGTTAAATTTCATATGAGACGAGGAAATTGTAGCTGAACCAGTCTCGTTAAGCTCCAAATTAAGCTAACCCACAAACGTTTTACTCATGCTGGTCAAGCTTTCTTGATTGAAAGTCATTGTAACGATTTTTCATCACCAGAATTTGCGAAAGGAGACACCTTTAACATCAATTTGCAGCAATGGACGATGACGTTTCCAACCCAATGCGCCGAATGTCGAGTCGAACTCGCAAGGTTGCTTCAAAAATGACTGCTGCTCTTCAGAGTAGTGACAACCGCACGCAGGTTTTGTTTTTTTGTTTTTGGATTTTGGTTTTTGTTTATGTGACTTTGCATAAGTTTATTGGAGTTGATGGGTTATGTTGGCTGATGTTTTAGGCTGCCCTTGCTCGGCTTGAAGCTTTAGAAAATGATAATGCGGGTTTGGAGATGGTAGAAGCTAATGACGACGATGAAGCTTCTCTTGATGATGATGACCAAGGTCCAATTCTCTAATTCTTTACCCTCTCTCTTCTTATTGGTTTGTTTTTCCTATGCAATGAGATTTTAGACCCTGTTGCTTTTGCATCCAGAACTGAAGGCCATTAAGATTTTAGTTGATGGGTGATGCTTATTTGCTATGGTGTTTAAATGTGGGTATAAAAATTGTGTGAAACAATCAGAATCAACAATGGGAGAGATTCCTCTCTCTCTCTCTCTCTCTCTCTCTCAGTTATTTCAGTAATTGGTCTATCAAAGGCAATTATTGGTAGTCTCAGTGGAATTTTGGTTCCAGTCAAGTTTTGTTTGAGCTAAAATCTACACATTCATGAAATTTCTTATGCAATTTTCGATGGATTGAAGGAAAGACAAATAACAGTTTCAACTGCTGCTGCAGTGTATATACAAAAGAAGCACTCTAAGGGCACCAAGCGCAAAACTCGGCAGGCAAAAGCTCTTGAGGCGAGGAAGGCCCCAAGAACATTCCTTGAGCTTGTACACGAGGTAATAAGGAAAATGCTGCCTGTATTCCTTTTACAATTTAAATAAAATTTATGATGTCTTTCTTTACATGATTTTTCCCACCAAAACAGGCAAATCTCGACTCTTTGCCTCCTCATGTTCCTTCCTATCTGAAGGCAGCAGTGGGACCTCCAAGCTCTACCTCCCGCCGCCACTTCTGCACTGTGTGTGGTTCTGCTGCCAACTATACATGTGTGAGGTGTGGGGTGCGCTTTTGTTCGTCTCGTTGCCAGAATATACATAATGATACTCGTTGTCTGAAATTTGTTGCCTGATTGGTGAGTGGCTTGAACCAACAAAAAATTGTAATTTTAGTGAAATTAGATGTCAGCACATTACGATATGCTCTATTACCATTCACTATGTGTTGTTACTGTAATTTTGTTTATATATTCTTTTTGGATTTAGTTTCCTTGAGAAGTAGGTGCACCATCAGTTACCCAAACATTTTATGTTAAAGCAAATGATCCCAAAAAGAAAGAAGGAAAAAACCATGTTTTTCCAATTGTGGTTAATTGAGTTTTCTCCTGCAACCAAGAAATTGCATCTCCTTTCCAAAAACTATTTCCTTCCTCATATCATGTGCAGGTTTTTGACAAATGGCTACCCCTTTTAGCAAGGTCTTTCCTGGTTTTCTTTATTGTTTGGTTATTAGATGACCGTGGAAGATAAGTCAACTTGGTTATGATCTTATGTTAGGTGTTGAATTTACCACAAGAGTTGCATTAGTTTATCTCCAGAAGAGTTTTATGTAGACAGCATCCCTTTGGGGCAGTTAGCACCATCTCACTACACGTAAATCAACTCATCATCCAAAGCTAGTATGAAGAAGATATGCAATATGTTTCAAATATGATATCCTTTTCCATGATTTTGAAAACAAATCATAACATGAAAAATAAGCTGCTTGTTGTAGCTCTGTCCAACTCTGGACTTGCTACTGCAGAAGCAATAACAATGGAAACTACCTGACAAATTCAACCTAACCAATGCATATTAATCTAAGGATGCAAGATAAAAGCAAATCTCGCAATTGCAATCATGAAATCCAACTAGTAGTGTGTTGTTCTGGTGATAACTTAACACCGGGGTAGATCTGCTGGAGGAGGTATCACAGACTGCAACGGTCCCTTTCCGTTCTCGACTAGAAAAGCCATTGCCAAGCCCAAGACGAGATGTGCATCTAGGTGACAGTGCATCAGCCAGACACCTATTTGGATCAACAATTAAAAGAAAACATCAAAATAGTGAATCTTTACTTTGTCGTAAAAGAAGAAAGCTTTATCATATGAAATTAGAATGTCACCTGGATTGTCAGCCACAAATCGAATAGCTACCCATCCGCCCGGAGGTGTTCCGATGGTATTCCTCAGTGGTGGGTCAACGAGGTTGAATTTGGCCGGATCCGTCCTTGGGTTGAAGTTGCCAAATCCTGATCCAATCACATAGAAATGGTACCCATGAAGATGCATAGGATGGTCCTCAGTTGTCACAATACTGGTGTCCTGCAACACTATCTGAACATTAGAGCCATACTTCAACTTGTAGAGCTTGGTTCCGCGTCTAGGCGTCCATAGCCCCCGGGGCACATTGCCGGTATAATCAAATTGCACAGGAGGAACAGGTGGAAAGTCTGTGGTGAAGACACCAGGTACACCATTGTAGTAGGCTTGCATTAAGGAGTTAGTTCTAGGGAACACAAAGGAGACATTGTTCATGCTAGCTGCAAAGCGGGTGTTGTTTGGTCCTTGACACCGGGGGTTGTTAGGAACTGTGCAATTGTTCAGTCCTAAACCCACAATGAAAAACAGGTTCTCATGAATCTGCGTAGGGACTTTGACCTGGGAAGGGCTCTTTATCTGAGCAGTATAAGCAGTCGCGGTAGCTGTATCGTTGAAGGCTGGTAGTAATGGCAAGGCTGGTGGTGGAAATTGACCTTTCTTTGAACTGCAAGGAGCAGACTTGTATTCAAGGATAGCAGTGGTGGTGGTGTTGTCGAAGGGTGCATTCCGGGCAGTCTGATAGACACTTGCCGCCACGTAGTAGTGAGCAGGGGGCTGATCAGCAGTAAGCAGAACATCTGTTGTCTGGCCAGGTCCTATCATAAGAACTCTGGTTGTGAAAGGTTTGGTGTAGGATGCATCAGCACTCACAACAGTCAATCTGTGGTTCGCAATGCTAAAGAACAGTTCTTGATTGAGTGCAGAGTTGATGATTCTTAGAAGAATCGACTCGCCTGAGCCGACTGGAATTCTCACGGTTTCTGCATTGTTATCCAAATTGTTATATCAAACCACACTTGATGTCACAATCAAATGAAGAACACAATATACGTCAGAGGCATTATAGCAAACCTTGTTTGGAGCATCTATAAAGATCACCAGGCTGACCATTAATGGTGTATGCATCAGAGGCATTGGGTGCTCCTCCTGTGAAAGCCGCCAGCTTCTGGACATCGAGGGGGTTTCGATCAAACCACTCTCCTGCATATACATACAAGAGTTGTTAAAAGAGCTACAAATGATTGAGGAGAAAACTTAAGAGGCCAGCATGTGAATGAAAGTGTTCTTCTCTGTTTTTACCAAGAAGCAAGGGAACTTCTCTCTTGGGCATTGAGAAAGGGTATGGAGAACCCAATTTAGGGTAGATTATGAGGGCTCCATAAACAGTGGCTCGAAGCCATCTGCTGTGAGCATGCCACCACAAAGTGCCTTCTTGGTCTTGGATTGTGAAGCGGTATGTGTAAGTGGCTCCTGGCTGAATTGGGCACTGTGTGATGTATTCAGGTCCATCTGCCCATGGATTTCTTAGCTGCCTCAGTCCATGCCTGAAGGATACATAAACAATAATTAGGAACAAGATTATAATTTTTTTTCTTTTTAATACAAGTGATAGTCTAATAAACTACAAGGGGAGGGGGATTTCTCACACACACTATCAAGGTGCCATAGGGTTAGAACCTGAGACCACTAGTCTGCAAGTTAAGGCCTTTTTCCACTGGACTAGACCTTGTTGGCGACCAAGATTATAATTATAAGCACTATGATGATGATTGCTTAATTGCAAACATTAATATTAACAATAATTAGAACAAACTTTTAAGACTCAAAATTGTTTATGTATATGATGAATACCAGTGGATGGTGACATTGTATTTTGCAGCATTTGTAACTTTGATGGCAAGAGAATCTCCGTTTCTGACTTCCAAATTTGGTCCTGGGAACTGACCATTGACTGTGATAGTATTGTGGGTTCTGCACAGCCTCTTCACTGGCTTTGCTTGAACCTATTTCATTCCACACAAAAAAAGGAAAACGAAAAATGCTTATAATTTTGAACCAAGTCCATTTTACTCTCTGACAATAAAAAGAAGTGCATGGTGAATGAAAAAAAACATACAACAAATTCATGGTAGTGAGTTTCAGCAGCTGAGAAAGAAGCTGAGAAAGCTAGGAAGGCAAGAAGGCCAAGGAGGAGGCAACAGCACAATGGCTTGAGAGTCAAGTTGGAAGCCTCCATTGCTCTCTCAGCTCTTTGTTGAATGGAACTTGTGGTAGTTTGTGTGAGTGAGATGGTCATAAGAGAGCACCTATTTATATATTTCTGGATTAAGCGGGAAAGGGAAAAACAGTAGTGATTTCTTTTATTCTTTTATTTTGGAGAAGTTGTCCATGTAAATTAGGTTTTGGGTCAACAGGGACACTTAGGATTTTGAGACATATTAGTCTAACCATAAAGGGGATTTGGTGCACCCACTATGCCCCCTCTAATCTCATTGTTAAAGAAATGGAGATTATATGCTCAAGTACCATGTTAGAGGCAACTAATACTCACACTTCTTTTACATCTAAAATTGTGACTTTTCAAAGGGTCATTAGAATTCTAGTGCCTTGAGTTCTGCTTTACTTTATATGAGCAATTCAAAAGCTCTACTATTAGGATGTTGCTCTCTATCGACACTCACTCATAGTGTATTATATTGTCAAACTCTCAATTTAGACCATACGCTTAAATTGACAATAATAATATAATATACGAGATTGTCGGATAACATTACATTTTCCCTTTATAGCGAGTAAAAGAAGTGTGAGTGGACCAAGCCATTTGTCCATCATCTATCGTGCCTTGTGGACCAAGCCATTTTTAAGGGTTTGATGTTCACTTTCTAAATTGAGTCATTCCCTCATATCTTGTGCTATTTTTTCTTATATTTTGAAAACCTATCAATTATATATAGCACAGTTAGAGGGGGGGTTGAATTTTGGTTTGGTTGGTAGAACAAGGAACAAGGAATATATATTTCTGCTTTAGTTGACCACTTTTCAGTGATAAAATAAAAAGATACAACAAACATCCACCAAAGGTCATGGACATGACAAGGTTGTTCACACCTAGTACAATACACTCATCAGCTTCACCATCTTCACTGAGAATCTCAACCCCCAATCCAAACCCTAATCTTTCTAAAATTATGTTTTAAAATTGAAAACTGTTAGTTAACCATATCCATATGTTTAGTATTGTTTAAACATCATCAAGCTGAAAATTACTTGTTGGTTTGTCAATATGTTCAGTATTGTTTAAACATCAATCAAGGCACTAATTAGCATGCTGGGTGGTTTATCTTCTGCATTTATTTAATATTTGAAATGAAGCAGGTTTGACGAGTCTACGATTGGGTATTTTCCGTCGTAAGCAGAGGAACAATGGGTACTTCAGGCCAATTAGGTAGCCTGCCAACTGACTTACGGGAAATGAAATGATGCATATAGTTATGATTCCTAACCTTGAAACTTGGATCATGACAAGAGATTAAGACTCGTGGTAATTCTGTGTTGGTTAAAACATTTTGGACTAAATTGAAAATTTGTAGATAACTTAGTGACTAAAAAAGTATTTAACCCTAAAATCATTGAATAACTTTATGGGTAACATCTAACGAAGGCTGACCACAAATTTTCCCTGAGAATCCAAAAACTCTACTCTGCTCAACTACATTTCACATTCAAATTTTGAATTGATAAAAGATAAAATATCAAACAATGCAAAATTGAATTAGCAACAAAAATGGGATGATACATTGTCAAAAAATTTATGCCTAAAAATACAAAGTTACAAGCCTGTGCAACTCTCTCACAACATCTGAGGAACAAGAAAAGAAAAACTACAATTGCCCAACAAAAAATTACAGCAAAACTGCTAACAGACCAGCACTCAATCAAAACCACCACTGTCTGCCCAAAATGGCAAAGGAAAAATCCCCAGATATGGGAGACAGAAAAAAAAAATTACTAACAAAACAAACTTCAATCTCCTTCAGTCTCTTGCCATGCTGAATCACAACAAAATCGGACAGGGCCCGAGGTTGAACCAGCACAAGAAGCACAGCACATGAAACTTCAAAATCACTTCA